TGAATTTTTTTAAATGAAAAAACAAAATTTATACGTATATATAAGGATAGGTGAAATAGGTGTATTGCTGATGTCTATGGTTTATTGAAAGGAACAGGCAGGCATTGCTTAAAATTGTCTTTTTTCTTGACCAATTTTGCACCCTTGAATTTGGTAATCAGAATGACTAATTTGAAAACAACAATATGCAGTATAAGAACCATTGCTGAACTCCTACCATCTTGTATGGGAAAGCGCCACATCATTTACAATGTTGGTTTTTTTTTTTTTTATTACTTGTTACTGTCTTTGATTGTTTGATCAGTCTTACATTCTTTTTTTGTTTGTTTTTTTCCGGTACCGGGAACCGAACTCACGACCTTGTGCTTGCCAGGCAGGCGCTTTTGCCGCTGAGCTAAATTCCTAGCCCCCAGTCTTACATTCTTATGTCTGGTGGATTGAGCAACTTCACTGAAGATAACAGTATGTAATGTAGCAACCACTGTAAATTCCTATCATTTTGTTTTGAGGTCATGTATCATTTTTGTTATTTTTGTGTTGTTTTGATTTTGTCTTCATTGTTTTGTTGGTTTTAATTTTTAAAATAAAAAATATATATACATTACTAAAACAAATTAACAAATGTTCTTATTAAGTGCATAAGGATTTCCATAATGAACTGCTTCTATTTTCAGTATTTTAAAAGATAATGTATGGCAAGCCAGCTTAAGAATCATTGGAGTTAATGTGTAATGCAACATCAAAACCTCTTTATTTCATGACCAATGACAGTTCTCATATTTGCAAAAAGTGTCAGTTCCAGACATCTCACAAGGATATGCATTAAATATTAGGAAAGATTCTATAACCTCCTCCCACCACCAGCACCACCACCAGGTTAAAAAGATCATCCTAAGGAAGGAATTCTATAACTTTTAGTCTAGACCATCAGTGGCAAAAATTATAGAGACTGAGTGCCCAAAGTGCAACCTAAAGCCCACTTATTTATCATGAAGTGCCAACAGTGCAGTTAAACCTGAATACTGAGGTTTTAGTTTAGAAAAAGAAAAATAATTCTACACATGGCTCACATGCCCACTGCAGTGCGTATACCATAGGTTCGCCACCACTGGTCTAGACCATAAACCAGTAGGTATCCTTATTACCACATACTTTCTCATGATAAAATTTACCACTCTACTGTTAGAACATTCTTATTTATCTGTCTTCCATGGAAAGACAGAAAATTCCATTAGGACTATAACCATTACCCTTACCTATATGTTCCCAGTCTTAAGATGAAGAACTTAACTAGATTCCTCATCTAAACCATAGACACAGAAAATGACTTCAGCAACCTTTTATTTTCTTTCCATTTTAGATGCATAGTAGAGAAGCTAACCACAGTCCAGATGCAAATACCTGCTTATGCTGGCACCCAACACAAGGTTACAAAAGGAATGTTCTAAATGTAAGCTAAATATCTAGTAGAATTAGATAGGTGAAGGTGAAGGTGGTAATGACCATGACAATGAGTTAATGATCATAAAAACTATGTTTATTTTTACTACATGCCAGGAACGTCCCGTATCTCATTTCATCCCCCCATAACTATATTACTTCAATTTTGCGGAATTTTGCAAAAGAAACTTGAGGCTGAGAGAACTTTAAGATAAAGCAGAATTCAACTCTAGGCTTCTAAAGAAAGCCTCATACTCTAAACTACATTAGTCTTGCCTTACCTGCAGCAGATACATTCTAACACATGCCCCGCTCCAAGAGGAAACATAAAAGATCCCACATTCCACTTACATTAAAATGTCTAGAAAAGGTAAATCTGAAGAACAAAGACATTACTGGTCGCCAATTGAGGTGAAGGGAAATAACTGCACATGAAGACAATACACAATATAAAGGAAAACACAAAGATTCAAACATGAATAATCCTAGCAGCTCTTTCTATAATAACCTAAAAAGAGAAATAACGCCAACATCCAGCAACAAACAGGTGAGTGACTGTTATGGTTTGTGTCTACATGTCCCTCCAAAGCTTCATGGGATTACGTACAGGGCTTTTTCAGAGGTAGCTGAATCTAGAGTGTGTGATGCTGGAATTAAGGGTGTGTGATTACTAATCAATCCACTAATTGGTTTGGCACCACCCTAATCACAGCAGTCTGGATAAGACATAAGGTTCAGAAAGATGCTGTTAAGCCTTCTTGTTGCTTTGTTACCTCCGGCCACTGTGAACTGTGGTCCTCCTCTGTGACGTCCCTCTGCCAAGCCACCCTGCCTTGGAGCCAGCTGATTATGGACTGAAATTTCTACAAAGTGTGAGCCAAATAAACCTTTCTTCCTTTCTTTGACTGTTGGGTATTTAGTCTCAGCAATGAGAGAAAAGAAACTAAGACAATGACTAATATGTGATATAGCCACACATCAGACTGCTACTCAGTAATAAATACATATACACACACATATAGAGAGATATATGTGTGTGCGTGTATGTTGATACATACAATAACATGGATAAGTCTCAAAAATCCTTATGCTGAATGAAAAAAGACCCAAGAGAAGATACTATTATAAATAACAGTACTTCCATTATATAGATTTATATACTTCTATAAAATACAGACTCATCCAATGACAGAAAACATATCAGTGTTTGCCTTGGGACCAAGGTGGAGGGTGAAAGTGGCTGCAAATGAATAAGAGGAAAGTTTTCAAAGTTTTCAAGAAAGGCAGAAATGTTCTCTATGCCAACTGTGGTGGTTTTCCATATATATATATATATATATATATATATATATATCAAAATTCATCAAAGTGTATACTATGAATGGTTATAAATTATTGTATGTGAATTATATCTCAATAAAGTTAATTAGAAAAAACAATAATTCATGAGTAATTACATTTTTTAAGATGCAAAACAACTGCCAACACTTTGTTCTAACCAGTAATTCCCAAGTGAGTTACTCTTAAATAAAGAGCAAAGAAATCTTTTAAAGCAAATAAAGCTAGTTACAGTGATGTTGCATAAATGTAACTCCAGCATTGAGGATGCTGAGGCAGAAGGACAGTAACTTCAAGGCCAGCCTGAGCTACACAGCAAGTCCCAGGCCAGTCTGGACTACATAGTATCTCAAAAAATAAATAAATAAATTTTAAAAAGCAACAAAAGGCAACAGGCTCTAACAATTTAACGTGTTTCACAAGCTGAACATGGACAAAACATCTGAAGTTGGAGTTAGAGGACCTGGTTCTGTGCCCTAGTTCAACCTAGCAACCAAGCCTTAAGCAAGTTAGGACTTCTACAAGTCTCACTTTCCACATCCCTAAAATGTGGATGACATTAATACATCATAAGGGACAGTTCTGGTTTTAATGAAGTAAGCGCTCCTTTGGAGCAGGGTTTCTATCTTAGCTAAAATTACATTCTTTATGAGTAAATACAGTAATAGGTGCTTAATAAATCTAATGAATAAATAAATCACTTTTAAAATAAACCTGAAAGCCAAGAAAGACATAATGCACAGCGCTACTGGGCCATATTTAATTGGTTTTTAACACTGTGTAGGCTAATGTAGTAAGGTTATCCCCCTTTATACTCATCTATAGTATATCCAGATTTAAGCATGGAAAGCTCAGGTCCCTGGTGAAATGTCGTTATAATTCAGTTTATTATAGATCAGATTTGATATCTTAAATCCCTAGATGATTTGGCCAAAGACAGACTCACTTGTAAAACTAAACTCTATGAGAGCAAGAACTACCCTATTTTATTTACCACCAATGTTTTAGGCAATATTTGCCTAAAACATAGAGTAGGCATCAAAGAACATGTGCAAAGGCTCTGTGATCAGATGAGCTACAAGCAAAAGGGCCTCTTGAGAAGGTTAAAGTGGCTAATAGGAAGAGAGCAGAGTGCCATGTCCAATGGGATTATGAAAGCAGATAGGGCCCAGAAGATGCAGATCTTTCAGGCTAGGTAAAGTTTTGTCTTTATCCTACAAGCAACAAAAGGCCACAGAAGATTTTTTTTTAACAGGTGGTAAGCACAGTAAGGAGGGAAGAAAGGAACAAAATTTCGTTTGAATGCTGAAAAAAAATTTTTATGGTGGAGAAGAGACTGGTTGTTGGGGAAACAGGAGTCAGTGAAGTTAAAAGACTTAGTGTAGTCCAATGGCAAGCTATAGCAACAACCCATTACAGATATAATGCTAGGGAACAGACTCTCAATACATTCTAACAAATCAAAAGAACACAACTTTGGGAATGGGGGAAAGGAAAACACAATTCTTCTTAGCCTCAGTGATTTATCTGCGCAACAGAACTGTTGATATTCCATCTGTATAATCTATCTTGCAATCTGCTGTGACAGCAATATAAAATAATACAAATGCAATGCACCTAACGCAGGTGCCTGACACAATAAACAAATAAACTGCTTTCGCTATTACAGCCATCGCATGTATTGACAGCTAGGAGAGAGCTGAACATCAAAAGCAGAGAACGGTAATACAGTAAAGATTCATATTCACAGTGCTTAAGACTGAGACTATTACCAACTCGTCACTAAGTCAACTGTTGCAAATGAAAATACCTGACTCCACAGATATTTCACCTAATCAGATCTCAATCTTTAGAGACCATTATGAAACGAGAGAGCACAGCTGGTATGATCACAGCCATCTGAGAGGCCGGTAAACTGAGGCACAAAGGTGGCTACAAATTTCACTAAGAATAGGTGGAGAAGCAGGACAAGGAGAGGAGTGTCATGATTTTCATTTCTGAGCTGATCCAACAGAACTCGGCCTGCATCCTGAGCAACAAGAATTTGCAACACAAACACATGCTCGCGCACACACCAGGTCTCCAGGTCCCTTGCAAGACAAGGCCATATCATCCCTTGACTCAACACCGTGCATTCTCTCACCATCAGAGCAAGCCCTTCCGGTCTCCTGGCCCCAGCTCCAGGAGCTCGAAGAACCTCAACCTCAAAACGCTCAACATACCTTAGCTTCGCGCTCTCGTTCCTCAGCGGTCTGAGTGCGCTTCATGCTGCCGCTAAAGCCGCTTTCGCCACCGCGAGCAGCGTAACTCCTTCGCCTAGGACCCCGCCTCCTGTATGTAGTTCCCTCACTGCTCTGCTTCCCCTGACGCCATTCTCTCTCAGAGGCTCGAGAACTACCACTCCCAGAATGCACCGCAAAACACCCGACAGCGCTTCGGGCTCGAGAGCCTGAGAATTTCCCAAGTCTCACAGCTGGGCGAGCGTAGTCCCCTGCACAACGAGCGCAAAGCCTAGAGCCCAATGAGAACTACATTTCCCAAGGGGCAATGGGGCTGGCCATGTTTCTCCCGTGCTCCTCTTGGCCAGCAGACAACACATGCCGTTGGCGCCATAGCAACGGTAGCTAGCTAGCGGCCGGGGAAGAGTGGCGGTGAGTACTCTGGGGGAAGATGGGGGTACATGGAGGTTGTCTGGCCCTCCTGCTGCAACACCGGCCAGGACCATGGGGTACGCTTTACAGCTGCAGAAGGCCCTGGAGTTCTTCCGTGAAAAGCAGCCCAGCCCTAGACATCTCCCCATTCTCAGGCCTGCATCACAGCCGCCCTTCCCCACGACCTGGACCGATGTGAAATCTTAAACCCCAAGCAATAAACCATAACTGAAGAGAGTTGTCACCCCTAACCAGATCCTTCAAGTAGGTCACAAACACAGCTCGGTCATTTACCCAGGGTTCAGAATTGGTTGGTAGACCCTAAGCCTCCCGAGATACCTATTGTTACCAAATTATATAGTTATCGTCTACTATCCATAAGCTGTTAATGCCTCAAGGCAAAGACTTTGTTTACCATTTAGTTTCCATTTCTCGTATTCATTTACTCATTCAGTAAGAATTAACGTTGCTGCTCACGTGTGGCAGACACTGTTTCCAACTAACTCTGAACAAGACCATCTCAAGATGTTTATACTTTTTATTAGTGGAGACAATGAACTAGTTCACAAATGAGATAATTTTAGATAGAGGCCATTGCTATAAAAGAAAGAAACCATGAGGAAATTAGGAAGAAGGCTGCCATAACATAGTACTGTATGGTCAGGGAAAGCCTTTTGAGCAGAGCTCCTAAGATTGAGGTTCTGCCCATGAAAAGGCCCTGACCAAGACAACAGCGGATGGCCTTGGGGAAAGGAGACCATGTAGGTGGAGAATAATGAGCAAGAAGGGAAAGCTTGCTAGAGGCATTGCAATATTGTGCAGGGTGTCTCAATAACATTTTGGGTCAGATAACTGTTAACATTTTGGGCCAGATAATTCATTGTCATGGATCCTATATGCGCTGTAGGAGGTGTACCCTCATTCCTAGCATCTGTTCCCTAGATGCCAGTAACTCTTCCCCTTTCCAGTTGTTACAACCAAAAATATCCCTAGATAACTAATTCCTAGGTGAGTAGGCTTGGGCAAGTTACCTGTCTCAGCTTCCACATTTGTAAAGCAGGAATCATGTGAGTAACAATCTCACAAGGATATTGTAAGGTTATTTAATTAACTCATATTAATGAATTAAGTACAACACTTAACAGTGCCTGTTGTAAGTACTGAAAACATTTGATAAGTCTACAGCCATATCACTTATGTCCCCTCTCATCAGAAAATATTCAGGGGCTGGGGATTTAGCTCAGCGGCAAAGCGCCTGCGGGTTCCCGGTACCGGAGAAAAACCAAAAAAAAAAAAAAAAAAAAAAAGAAAATATTCACTAAATGTTAACATCATTATCATTATTATAAAATAAACCTAAACAATTGAAAAGCAGTCACTTTCACAGGTGACCTGTGTTTAAAGTTGATCATTTGAATCCTAAATTTGACCTTTTGTGTAGTAGTATTTCCGGAAAGAGTAGTCAATCTCCTGGGCCCTCTTCCTGTATACACGTGTACATACACATTTTCGTAAATGATCTCTGGATTTTTAGATCCTTCTTTCTTTCATGTAGTCAAATGTTTAGTGAATGTCTGCTCTCTGAATGCACCTAACTCTGCCAGCCTCCAAGAATACAAAGGTTTAAAGCTTCCTGCTTTATTGGTCTTCACATTCTAGGACCAACATTCTAGAATTTGAGAACCTCTGCCTTAGAGTATCTTCATTAGCAGTTTTCATTTCACTTTTTAAGTAGATGGAAATTAAAATATAAAATTTTGTACTTATTTTTGCATACTGAAGATTGTATAGACCATACCCATGTACAAAATAAAATTAGTGTGATACATCTCTATGAAGAACAGAAACTATAAAATTACAATTATTTGGACAGCCTTTATGTTGAGGTAAGTAATCTCTGGGACCTAGGCATTATGGTGACAAAAGCAGGACACAATACAAAACCAATTGGTCAGTTTATGGAATCTTTTTCACAAAACTTGAAACTACCCACTCATTTGTACATCAAGCAAATAACTAATATTCCAGTACCATCAACAGTCCAGGCACATGTGCTAAACGGTTTTAATTTACCATCTTACTTTTAGGAAAACTCCTTGAGACAGATATTATTTGCTCCATCTTTTAAATTAAGGAACTGAAACTCAAAGAGGTTACATGACATGGGCAGCTGTAAATTGATAGGACAGTGATTTCAATCAAGTTCCTAACTTTCTTGCAAAATACCTGCTTGCTTTGTGGAGAAGAGGGGGAATGGAGAGGAGGCACTGTATTTCTTAAATTTGAAATGGTTTGTTTTTGTTTCAGGTAGAGGAATAATAAGGGAAAATGAAAAATTATAATCTTACCTCATTTCCTAAGCAAACTATAGGAAATATACTGTTGAAAGAAACACTGTCTCCATGATTGAATGTAGTATTACTTTTAGAATAGAAGCTTTCATCTTCTTTAAGCAGCACATGTGGGCAATAAGATGTCCATTATAGTTTTAGTCCCTTATTCGTTTTATTTGGTTCATTCCATTGCATAGTTAATGTAATAACTTGGAAAGAGTTTATTTGAATTTTCTTTCGTCCACAGATAGGCCATGTCTGGTCCAGCTGATGAGACTGCAGGAGATCTGCCTGTGAAAGATATAGGTCTGAACCTCTTTGGAGTGGGAGGGTTACAAGGTATGGCCAGCTGTTATTTATTATAGTTATGAACTTTGATCTGTGATTTCTTTACTTTTAATTTAAAGTATTTCTGATACTCATACAAACCAAATTATTTAAGTAACTATATAGCTCTTGATTGGACTAAACAAGATGGAAAGTTAGAACACATATGGTATTTTACTACATGCATCAATTATCAACAGCTCATAGCAAATGCAAGATCCTCCTCTGTTCTGATAAAGAATTGTTATAAATCATCTTTTTAAAATTCCACACATCAGTAGAAACTACATAGAATGTATCAAGCCTCCAAACTGAATTGCCTGGTTTAAATCACGTTCACCTTTAAAACATTTCTTTGTGTTTAAATTTTATATGGGAGGAAATGCCATATTTTTAAAACTTTGCCTTTCAAGTAGAGTATCTCACAATAGCTTGTTTATGCAAGTGACAGTGACTTTTTTTATCAAATTAATATACATTAAAGATTTTCTTTTTTCTTTTATCACTTAGTGGCTGCTATAGAGCTAAAGAGCACTTTCAATTATGAAAGAAAAGCATTACTTTAAAGAACAATTTAGAATAGAAACCTCTGTTTAAACAGTTCGTCAACCATACCCTTATGCCCCTACATTTGCAATTGAAAAGGCTGGGGATTTAAAATACATTCCAGTACGGAATCTTCATTAGAATAGAATAAGTTGCCACCTTGACTATCTCAGAAAAGTGATCAATATATTTATTCATTAAAACAGACAAAGTCTGCTGTACAGATTTTACAGTTGGAAGTAAAAAGTATGTATAAACTTGGCTTTAGATCTTTAAGATAAAGTATCAGATATTCAAATACAAATAACTTTTAAATGTGCAAAGCTATTTATTAGATGTTGTTATTGAATTCAATTCTTGTCTTCAGTAACCACCATAGGACTTTAATCTCTGTCGACTTGTTCATTTCTATTGGAAGATTATTGAAAATTGAAGTATTTCACAATAATATAAAAGTACCAAATTTAAGCATCTATAAAAAGATATTGTATACACATGATAAAAGGGTATAGAAGACGTTTAAAAATATATAAAGTAGTTTAAAGAAAAATGATCTTTAAGCTTTCAGTTGACAGTTTTTAAATTTTAGGAGTTTTCTGGAGCAGTAATCTTGTAAATTTTACCATTTTGTTTTTTGGTTTTGGTTGTTTTTTTTTGAGACAGGGTCTCATTATGCAGTTCAGGCTGGCCTTGAGCTCACTTTGTAGCTCAGACTGGTCTCGAACTCACAACGATCTTCCTGCCTCAGCCTCTCAAATGTTGGGATTACAAGCATGCGCCATCATAGTCGGCTCAACTATTTATTTTCTTTTTTTTTTTTT